ATACGTTTACGTGATGATGCGGCGATATGTATAAATAATATTTTACTTTCAATTCTGCTATATTTATCACATCCTTTCACAAGCCATCCTTTTATACAAATTATTTAAAAAAAAATGAACCGTCGCGGGACGTCTGGCAGATACATTTAAATTATTTTAAATAAATATAGAAGTATAAAAGGATAGTTTATGAAAGGAAATATTAATGGCAAATAAATACATTTTACGTAGAGTTCTGCAGGATAATGGGTAATGGCTGAACCAGACGATTTACTATTTTTAACAATGCTGTAAAGAGTAAATGTCACTGGCGTTTGACGTTGTCATCGCTGTCAACTTGCGCTGTTATCGTAATATTTTGATTGCGTTTTCAAGATTTCTGAGTGAATCATAAACAAATCATTAGAATCAAAATATTCATTCCGTGGGTGTCGTAAGAGTCGACTGACGGAGCAAACTACGCATTACAACAGCACTGCAAAGAGAAGGAAACTTGAAACAAACCCTATACCAATCCGTCTGTGGCCGGTGTGGTATAGTCCAGGTATAGTAGACCCAAACCTCCTCTCTAAGGAGAGACCTATGTCCAGCAGTGGACTAGTAAAGGCTGTTGAGGAGAATGAGAATAATGTATAAAATTAAACATAATATTATTATTGCAAATATAAAAAAAGAAACACTTGTTTGAAAAATTTCAGGTCTTGGATAATATTAACAAATTGAAAGACTGGAACAGAAAGAGATGTTCTCAGAAACTTAAGAATCACATCATTGACTGGTAAATATTAGTGTTATATATTCTTTTATGAAATATTTGTGATAGTTAAGTTACCTACACTGTAAATCTGTAACTGTTGACTGTATAGTCAGTTCTTTTACTTACAATGATAACTTTTATTGTGACATTTGTATATATTTTTTTTGTAGGTCTAAGTTTGTCTACATTGAATACTACATTTTATGGTATCCAAGCTTTTATATGCAAGCTGTCAGAAACAAAATAAATAATTTTAAATTGTAAAGAAGCAAATGCCTTTGCTATAGAAGCTTTCTGACAGATAAGATTTTCTGGCTGCTGAGAATTGGATTACAGTAAATAAAAATTGGTTTATAAATAAATGTATAATTTTGTTTCATTTCTTCTAATTCCTATTAGTCCTTATAAATCTCAGTTCCTTTGCATTAATCTATCCTAGTATCATAAAGCGCCAGTGTGTGTGTGTTAGTACATGCTGATCTGTTTATGATATAGTATAGAAGCATATACAAACAGCAACAGATCAAGTCATACATTTCTATAGTGACAGGTGATCTCTCCTTGTACAGAAAATCTATAACACGATAAGTAAGCTTATACTGCCAAATTCTAGCTTGTTCTGCCGCTGTGTGTACTTAATTCATAAAAGCTATTTCCTCATTTTAAATAAAGACCATTAAAGTTAACTAAATTCTAGCTTGGTATATGTATGTCGAGATGCCCTAAACTTAGACCCGAGTAATCTGGTACAAAAAAAGGTGCGAAAAATTAACGACTATATTTAGAAGAAAATAGATTCTTCGCTAGGTGCCCTAGTTTTTTAAGATATAAGCGTAGCCGACCTAGGAGTTTTCTCCCTAGGTTCGGCCACTTAGGAACACATAACTTTTGATCCAGTGACCGACATTTTCTGATATTTGGCGACTGATTTAGACAAATTAGCGACTAATTAGGAATAAAACAGATCTTTACTAGGTGCCCTAGTTTTGACATACAAGCGTAGCCCTGCTGGGAAACTAACTACAGCAGGCCACCCCTATAAACGCTTATAACTTTTGAACCAGTGACCATCAAGTTTGATATTTGGCGACAATTAGCCACTTAATTTTTGTGCTATCAAAATTAAAATCCATGAGGTTGGCCATGCCAATGTCAGTGACACATTTTCCTGCGACTGTTTTTTTATAATCGGTAATTTTACCACATCAGGAAAACTTGGCATAAATAATATTAGAATCTTTATGTTGTATAAATAAAGTCGGTTTTGATCTTGTACGCTTAGATCTTATAAACTGTGCAACGGATGTAGTTTTTCACCATGGACAGTAAGTCAAGAGGATAGTTTATATGTATAATACATACATACTATAGTAGAGAAAATCCTACAATTTCAAAGATTTGTCGTAATAAACATGTTTTGTGCGCTCATATGGCAAACGCTGACTAAACCTTACGAGATAGATTAGAATAGTGTACCACGGTATTGTATTACTTGAAAGTTCTACAAAAAAGTCCACGATGATATAATATGTCTATCTCCTAAGGATAACCAACTGTAACCATTTTTATCTTTTTCCATATTACAAAAAATAATGGGTAAGTTACAAAGCTATTTTGAACAAAACATTTTTACTTCTTAGTCATATAAATAAATTTGATAATTTGTGTATTTCATGTTGATCAAAATATATTTACAGCATCTCATTACAATAAATATCTTAGTTATTATTTGAGATTTGAAATGAGGGGCAACGCGGCCGTCGCTGCGTCGCGGTCGTGCCGTCCGTCCATCCCGGCTCACGGCGGCCAGTATAGGCCCGCTCCGCTCGTAGCGGGCCTATACTTATTACATATAAAGATGTCCTGTATCTTATCAATATAATAGTATAATTATTTACTCCACACTGACGCAACATTAGTAGTAGTACCTATGGACTGCATCCAACTCTACGTAACGCCAAGGAATCGAGCCGATCGGAGCATCTCCGCCATCTCCGTGGTACGTTTGCGCATGCGCAGGCCATACATCTAGGGTTTTTATTTTCGAAGGTTCGAAGCAAGTTCCCACCCCTAACCTTATCTGCGCTTTCTTTTCTGCTGTGAATGTTGATGCTCCAAAAAAAAAACATTTGTTTTGATAGCTTAAAAGTCTCTTTGCATCTTGTACAGAGACGCAGATAAGAGTAAAAATTTTTACTGCGATGTTTACCTCTTAGTGAAAGTTCTTTTTATAGAATAATATTGAAAATAATTGTCTGCTTAACGTACCACGCGCCTTCGACAATTGACTGATTACGTTTTATTTGTTTGTTGCAATAACTATTGCACTTTATGAAATTCTAATGATAGTGCAGTTAGTTTCGAGTAGGTTGCAGTTTTTTCCACTGTGCAAAAAGTACGAGATTCGAAGTATTTCAAGTGATATAGACGGTGTAGCAGGTAGTATCTTTATTTATGTTTTACTTGTGAACTAAGACGGTGCTGTTTTAATAATAAATAATTTTGGAAAGTGCTATTTAAGATACGTCGATTGATATCTTTTTTTTTATATCTCAAAAGTTTACAGGCTGGGGTGGAGGCGGTCAACCACAAGGCATTCCTGTCAGAAATAAATATCAACACTTGGTTGAAAGTTTTCGCGGAATTTGCAAAAACTACATGAATTATTGTAAAATAAAGTAAATTGTTATATTTTGTCTTATTATATAATAACGTGTTATTATTCTAAGTTCAATGACAAAAGAGCGAAATCCATAATTATTTAAATTATTCAGGTAATAATTAAAATTACCTGTTTGTCATAAAAAAATTATTAATGAGCATTATAATAATTTAAAATTATCTATTTTTAGTTTCTGTACTGCATTACAATTGTATTTATTTTTACCTAAAGTCATTCAAAACATTTAAAAAAATATTACAAATAAAAAATTGGCTACACCAAGAACGTCCATTTGGTTTGTTTTTGATTTGGTGATGCCCACTAGTGATGCGCAAAATGTACCACTGAGCTGAAAAAATTGATAAATATCATTTCGCTCAAAAGATATACATCACTCGTCTAGCTCAGTGATCCAATTCAATTGATTAGTCTCTCAACTGATTTTTCAGTAAATATCCCTCAGTTCGAAACTCTCTCGCTTAATGAAAACCCTTTTATTTATTGTCATAATTACCTAAATTAAGTTCTTCAAACTTAACTTTGAATATATTTAAAAATACAATTAATTCAGTTTAATAAGACTACATAATTATTAACACGCCTTTACAAATTAATTAAAAGTAAGTAATAGAATAAAATTAAAATATATATTATTAGGTTGTATATTAGAAAGCATACATTTTAAATTGATTTTCCTTTATATAAAGCTAGTGACGCCTTAATTAATAATAAAGAAAACACACACTTATTCTTAAATAATACATAAGTAATGTTAAACTCTGAGACTCTAAAAATAAGGTACATTTTTTCTAAAGAACTGAAGAAGCGTGAACTTAACCATCATCTATTTCACTTTTTATTTATTTTAGTCTCACAGAAACTAAGATCGGCACCGTTAAGCTAGCAGTGTTGCCGACCTAGTGGATTTCAAAAACAATTCATCTTTAGATGACGAATAAATTTAAATAAGTAACTATTGTTATTGAATAATTTCTAAATTCCTTATCTTGACTTTTTCTTTTTATGTTAGAGGGGGCAGACGAGCAGACGGATCGGAAGACTACTGACTATTGACTTGTTTACTACTGTTGAAACTTATTAATTTGTGTGTTGATTAATTGATTGTTAGTGTTAGGATTATTTTATTATGAAGAAACTATTTTTTTTTCTTAATAACTAAAAAAGTTTAGCGGAAAATTTAGCTACTATTAGAGTAGGGCCGCTTTTCGTTTAACTCTCAACCAGTGAGAGTCAATTGTACTGTTGGCACACTGTGAACTAATGATTGTGAGCGCGAACGCATTTGGCGTTGCGTTGCAAGCAAATGTTGGTAGCGCTTAGTGGAGATTTCTCTGCAGACCAAGCACGATCACTCACCGAAACGATCGAGAAGTGAAATAAACTCACACTTGGGCTTCCGATTCATTCGAAGCTAATGTGAATTAGTGATTCATTTTATCGGCGTGAGTGATTTATATCTTTTAGATCACTCACTCAGGAGCTACACAACTCTAATGCCCACCACATGTAACTAGCACACGGCAGTGGCAACGGTGGCAACACTGTCTTTATCCTTGTAATATGGCTGCCGCAGGTTAGTTCTAGTAATTTTGTCACGGTGAAAAAACGAAGGTTTTCGCTTGATTTTATTATTTATTAGGGCGTGTTAATCGTTATTATAGTTTGCATGTATATTAGTTATCAAAAGCTTTCTTTTTTGAAGTTGTAGAACGTTATCTATTAATGCTAACGTGTCATCATTTCACCTTTGCGAACGTTTGGATTTACCGCGTGGCCACATTTCTCAACATTCTCACTTACTTATTACCCGTATAGTTCTCAATAACGATTAACAATTATTTTGCTAATTTCTGCAAAGGTGAGAAACACGAACTTGAACAGATGTGTTACAAGTGCCATTTGTCCTTTCATGTGTCCGCGAATAACCACTTTCAAAATCGGAGTAGGTCGTTCACTTACTATGCGTCATCATTAACTATTAAGTTGTCCTGTAGTCAAAATTTTATCTAATCTAACATCGATTCTAGCGTCTAACTTCTCTGTTCTAGCAAGCAAAAAGAGCAAAAAAGCGAAATGGATCAAAGCCAGTATTACCGACATTATTGCAGAACCAACCACAATTCCTACGGCCAACACCTGGGCCGATTCCGTAGAAGAAGAACGTAAGTACATATTTAATTATATTCATGTTACTTTTTTAATTTTCGACCCAGTGTGATATAAAGGGTAATGGCAGGTCAATGTTAATCTCGTACTTGGGGCGCACACACTGAGTGCCTGTCGCTCTCTCCGCCCCGGGAAGGTCTGAGTAAAGGTCTTTGTGATTTAAAACACATTCTAGACGGATGCTTCCTTTACAAGGAGGCAGGGAACCAGAAATTACAGTGTAATATTAAGCCAGTGATGCCAGGCCTGTGGGCTAGGTGAAGGTGTAAATGTTACAGCTGTTGGAAACCCCTGTACCAGCATTTTAAGTACAATATACGAGATGACTATGGTCACAACTCAATTCAGACTAGTCTTTCATTGACTTGCTCCCTATTTTTTCTGAGGGTCTAATGTTTTTGTAACAATATAAAATTTACTGTGAATAAAATTATAACTGTTAATAGTAATTATTATCTCTCTCTTAAAAATTGTTATTGCCTAAGATATTTGTTTATCATCACACAACATGACTGATGAAACTAATTGTTGTAATAATATTATTAGTCATGAATGGAATAAAGTAATAGTTCTTAATTATTCTATGTATTTTGTAATTAACATGACATTTAGTAATAGACATAATTAACATTTATTAGGGCCACAACCATGTTTGCAATATTAAAATTAATTAATCATGTTTGCCTAGCTGAAACATTTGGCTATGCGTCAAGATCGCGCGCCGTGGTTACCTTGCCGTCCGCGTCGCGGGCTGCATGCGGTGACTTGCAGTGGACGATGAGTCCATCCCTCGGAGACCTCCTTACACAGCACACATTTCTAACCTACCATATGATGTTGATGAAAGTGCTATTTTTGAATTATTTACAGGGGCTCAAGGTATAAATTATGTATATTTTATTTTAGTCTAGAAATTATTAATCCTATTAGTATTATTACAAAGATAAAATTTTAAGTTTACTTTTATTGTTACTTGAAATAGTCATTGCAGTTGTGGGCTTTTAAAAATATTGTTAGCTAAATGAATTTTTTCCTTAAAAAATAAATATTAGGCCAGTATGGAAAAGTAGATTTATTTGCATTTAAGTACTAAGCAATTTTACTAATTATATTTCCCCTTGAGAGGAATGAAAGAATTATCACACACAAAAGTTGTTGTTCTGAAATTTTTCCAAACATCAAAAAATTAATGATCACTTAATGATTGTTTTAGGTTTAATATTTATATATAATATGATAATGTGTTATACAACAGATTACCAACTTGACCCTTTCCCCACGTGAAGGGAGCCGCCTCAAAGGGTTTGGTTGTGTTGACTTCGAAGAGAGGAGAAGGCCTCATCAATGCCATGAACATGCCTGATCTTGTAAGTAACATTATCATTATAATTTTAGGACCATTGATATATCATCATTTAGACTACCATAACACGGGGTCAATAGGAATAAAAATCTGCTTTTCTAAAACAATTTGATAGTGAGATTCTATTTAAGAGAGGTTAAAGCTGTTTTATTTCTGAACAAGCTTCTTTTTTTTTTCTACTGACCACAATGAGCATTATTTAAGCCACTAATCAGGATTCTTTTTTTAAAAAATATGTTGAAAGTGAGGTTGCCGTGGACACGTGAATATCGTATTTTTTTAACTTGTAAGTTTTTGATGAGTTATTTTTGAGAAAATGTGTTCCACACACAAATGTGTTGAACACTCTAGGATCACTCACTAGGATTGCGAAGGGGCTAAATTGCATATGAGCAGGTAAATTGGGAAACATATGGGGGTTATTTTAATTCGATTGAGAAGAAATTGGAATTCCTAAATAGGGTTGTCTAAAAAACCCAAACAGAAAGAAAATCAAACCTAAAATGGACAAATTGCAGATATCGTCTATCTGCAATATGTGGACGGTGCAAAAAAAAAAACGGATAGCAAAATATGCAGTCAAAGCAAAGAGGCAAATGACAATAATTTTGAGGTGCCTGTTGGATTAAAAAATCCCAAAGTGAATGGGAAAAGATTCTGGAACCTTTCCACTATTTCCCTTGAAAGCAAGCCCAATTTTTTCGCGGAAAAATATTGATGTCAAAAAATTATTGTGAGAACCAAAGACGAAGCCCAAAGGATCAAACAAGAGTAAATAAACCATGAGAAAGAAAATGAAAATTTTCAAGTAAAAGGCACACACAAGCTAGAAATTAAAATCATATCAGATTTTAAAACTTAAGCCTTTAAACTAAATAGTAATTCCGTCTTGACAAGTAGGGCTAAGTTACCATGGTTAGATATATAATAAAAGGTTTCCTAAAGCGGGAGTTGTCTTTTAAAAAAAGAAAAAACAAAGTTTCCAAATTAGTTACCTAAATTTGTTTGAAAAAAGTTAGTAAAAAAATTAACCTACTTTGGTATCATTAAGTGGCAGTCCTAGTTCAATTTCCGATTACCCTCTCTCTAGAATCTATTATCCCCATCGGGTAAATTGACATTCAGTGGGGTTTTTTTTGTTGAATTATTCAAAATATTATCATATTTTCAATTCAATAATATGACGATAATTTGGGCATCTGAAGCAAATTAACATTTAACTTACTACACACTTTTTAGTATATCTTGAAATACCCTATGCCTAACCGAAGAAGATTTAAATTCCAGTGGAAAGTGAAGTTTGGACCTATTTACCCGTTTTTACGGTACATCATTTTAAGATGTATGTAAAGAAACTAATAAATTTATATCTATTCTTAATATTATAAAGCATAAGAGTTTGTTTTGGTTAAAATGCAGTTATCTCAGTAACTACTGTTACAAATTGATAAATTCTTAGTATTGGATAGATTAATCCATTTATTGATCTAGTCTATAATTTAACATATTGCTATAAGCAGTCGGAAACCGAGCATTAATGAAATATGACGTAAGAACGGGAAAAAAAATTTAAATTCCTTTTGAGATATGCAGACAAAGTTGTGCTAAGTAGCTGATATAATATAAATTAATGCATATGTTGAAAAAAAATAGTAAAATTAACTATGCTGTTTTTAAGAGATCCCTTTCATCTAAGAAACTGAATTAATGCATTTTCAGCTTTAACTAAAATTACCAAATGCCTTTTTAAAAATAGTATATTTTATATTGTCAGGACAAGGAAATATTTTTTTTTTTACAAAATTACCTAGAAATAATATGTATATGCTCACAATAAAAAAGCTATAACAATTAGTTTGGGGCCAAAGCCGTTTTTGTAGCGACTCCAAAATGGAAAAATACAAAGACTTTTTTTCATGCAACAAAACCCAAAATTCCTGAAAGAGCTATTGTGTAACAATTGTAACTTGTTTTGTTTGGCTCTAGACAATAAATGGTAGGCGGATAAGAATAGAAGTATCTACTCAGGATAACGACCGCCGCATGGGAAGGGGAACCGTTTTTGATCGAGAGAGGTATGTTTTATTGTTATATAGAAAACTGTATGGTTTTTATTAAAGAATGACAATGGTTTTTTAAAGTTAAACCCCTTTTCGCCAATGTATGTAAATGAAAAAAATATAAATCTTAATAAGAAAAGGGCCATTTCATTCTTTGCATGCATGCATTCCATTATTTTGTTAATAAAAGAAAGAAATGAAATAATAGATGTGAAAATGAGAGCTTTCTTCTAAATGTTTTAACTTATCATTGTCAATATGCTTACTCATAAGTCATGTTCAATGTTTGGGATTATGATCCTGAACGCACATGGGAGATTGGCGGTCGGGCCGCGCGCTATGCGGACTCGTCACGACCGCGTAACCTGACCGGGACAGGGAACGTGACAGGGAACGCGATCGAGAAAGGGACTGTAAGTATAAAAGACTTTTTACTAAATATTCATATTATTTTATATATCTATGCTAATGGTATAATGCTCAAGAGTTTGTTTGTTTGAATGCACTAATTTTAAAAACTACTTATTCGAATTGAAAAAATATTTTAAGGTTGAATAGCCCATTTATCGAGGAAAGGGTATAGAGTATTATAACATTATGATACAACTAATAGGTGATGAGCATCAATGTTGCAAAAACGGGTCAAATTTATTACTTATTAGAGGGGGAAGTTTTGTGGGTCAGTCGGCTAGTATTTTCATTTAATTGAAACAAAATAACAAGGTAAACTGGGAGTTATATTACTAACTAGCTTACCTTGCTTTCAGATAACCCTTTTTTCTTTCTAAACTACGATTATATATTTAATGCTTGGGTCGAATTTTTGGGAAATTTTTAGTTCGCCACACAAGATTTTTTACTATTAAAAAATACATACAAAAAGAACAATGGCAGAAACATATTTACCTAAAAATTAAGCGTTTAAAAAATCGAGTCACAGTAAACTTAATCAATTTTTTTCTATGATTTATCATTACTCCACCATGTTTTTGTATAAGTCTTATAAGAGATAAGATATTTTTGAAGATTTTATTTGACCTAAGTACGTAATTCAGATTCGCCATCACGCATAACTAACTAGGGATGCATGGGGGCCCAATATTATTTTATGGAAAAATTTATCGATAATCGATTCTTATACTTTGGCTGAAATATTTACCGAAGGTTCACTATTATGATTATGATTTTGCTTCTGCCACTCTTCACTCGTACGGTAGAGTGACTGAATCAACATAATTAGAAATGATTTAAAATATTTTTGACTCTCTTTAAACGATTTTAAACACACTAAAGAAATAGAATATAGTTACGTTTATTTTCCACTACACAGTGTGATGAGAAAATACATTGTTGATAACGGCACATAAATAGACATACATCGATATTTTCAAAATGTCGATACGTCGTCGTTTATTACATATCTCTTAATCTGTGGTTTAGATCCTGTCAAGTTTTCCGGACTCACCACTTTTGTTATTTTATTTTTTTTAAATTTAGTGTTAAACTCGAATAGATGTTATGCTTTTATTTTTTTTTTATTTCATATACTGTAATAAAAATGAAAATAATATTTTCGGCAATCTGACACACAACCCCATCTAGTTTCAAACAAAACATTAACAATATGTTAGTACTTAACCTCAAAACTTCAAAATCCAATATCTTTTTTCCTAGACTTGTTTCGCAAGTAATTTTGATATGAGAAAAGGTCAAAAATAAATTCTCAAGTGTTTAAAGGGTTTTTGATATTTAAACGCTAACATTTCAGTTCAAATAAAATTATGTATGGGGACCCGCCATTTGTCCTTTGCTCACTACAAATTCCACCCTTTTGCTGAATGAACTAATGACTTATCGTTTTAAACTTTTAAAACGTTACTTCGCTACTAACTTCAATAGCTAGACGCTGGACTGCCACTAATTAGTTCCATTATTACGTTGTACTTCTCAAAATACTAAAATGCCGGATTCCTTCCATTTTCGAATTCAAAATATCGAATATCTCCCCAATTTCGAATTCAAAATTTCGGATATCTATCTCCCCAATTTGGAATTTAAAATTTTGGATATCTCCGCGACAGTTGGACGTAGCAATGATTTGAAGAAAGGAAATTAAAAAAGAATAAACAGGATATCTGGCCCATGTCATCGTTTAACTGAAAAACAATTTCCGAGCACGTGGACAAGAAGTCCACAAAATTTTAAAAAAAATATATTATTTTCGCTATTTACTCGGATTGCGTTTAAAACCCCTGGCCCATTAATTTTTGATCCATAAATAATCTTGAGAAAATATCGGAAAAATTTGGACTTCGTTTTAAATTTTTGTGAGTAGAGTATATCCTATTTAAAAAGCTATGGTTTCTGTAAATAATGACTTGCAAATTGATGCTTTGTGAAGCACTTATCACTTGTAACAATGGTAATACTAAAGCCTTAGTTTTTTCCAGTTAATTTGCCCTACATAGTGCTTAGGTTTAAAGCGGAAATTCTTTTAAAAACATTTGATTGTTTTGGCACACTCTGCTTTTATAAATTCTAAATCGCTTCGGGAAGGTCAGAGTATGTCTTGTTAACCTTGTTGGTACTAACGCTTTACGGCATTTTATAAAACAATTGATTTTTGG